ATATATAAACACATTTTATATATATATATTGTGATACATGTTAAATATATTCAATATATTAAATATATATAGAATGTATTTGGAGAACTATTAATTACTTCCTACAGGCCAAGAACAAAATCGTTCATGCCTTTCACAGCAACTTATACTTTCTCAATTTTTCCAAGAAGTGATGTATGATCTAACGATAGTTACCATTTATTAGCACCTACAGAAACTGCACTTGGTTCTTTAAACCCGTATTTTATTGAATCCTTATAATCCACAACATATATGATGAAGGAAGAAAGCAGAAAGACTTGCTCCCAGTCACATCGCTGTTCAGGCTGGGGAATAAGAACTTGGCCTGGTGGGGCTGATTTTCATTACTACACTGTGCTGCCTCTCTAATTTTAGTAACGTGCCTTCCTCTACAGTCTCTCTGACTTTGAAAACTTGCCAGTTGCCTTCTATGGAGATTTACAGCTTTAAGAAAATGTGCGCAAGAGATGGAGGTGAGAATGCGCACCACCCACCACAGCTGCATCACCAGGGCCTGTCCCTTCAATGAATGATCTTTAGGAGCAGTGCACAGAGTGGCTGCCTGGACAAGCAGAAGGGAAGCTGTGCTAGAGGTGTCTGCTTTGCCTTCCCTCCTGTTTCTTATGTCTCAGGATGCCAAGGCATAATCCTAGGTTTTGGCAAGCATGCTCCATTTTGTAGCTGGGGGTTTTTAGGCCGCAAACCATTTGGAGATAACTGGATGGGGCCTGTGCGTTGGTGACTGAAGGTGGCAAAAGGTGGCAAGAGTCTGAAAACGGATGCCAGCTGACTAGGCCAAAGAACTTCCAAACAACTCCCGTCAGCCCAGCCGGGAGCCACATTGCAAGCATCTGGCTGGAGAGCAAACCACTAGGATGCAGGCCAGTGGAGGGGGTCAGAGAGGGGAGTTCCCGTAAAAGTCAGGATCGAGGCTCCAGGAACTCGAGTTTCTCCCTCTCTGACTTGCTCCAAACAATCAAAGTCTGATTTATGTTCCCCAAACCAGATCCTGCCATGTGCTGAGCCTCTTACCAGATAAAGATGATCGAAGATGAGGGAGGGCTTGTCCATCTGTCCCAAAATAAGTAGCATCTCGTTGTCTATGAATTCCTTGAATTCTTTCAAGTTACAGTTCATCTGTTTCTCCAATTCATTACGGATCTATGGAATGGAAAATATTAAGAAAAGTGACTTGTTAAAGAACACAGTTGTCTCCCTCCAAAGAAGTAAAGTCACAACACAAACCACGGCTGTTTTCAAAAAAGGTGTTTTTTTGCATTTAGACACATGGGG